ACTGTAACACCCCGCCTTGTCATGAAAATCAGAGCGCGTTTTTCGCAATTACATTCAAAATAAAACATTTTACATTGCGAAATACTGATTCGGAGTGCTACTAAAATAACATAACTGACTGACAAATCTGAACTTTTGGTTTTGAAAAACCAACTAACAGTTCGCCGACTGATTCATTTGACTAAGAATGACGAACAGTAAAACATCAGCGGAAACTATAGTGGTGAAAATGGATAGCAGTACCGTGATCGTGAAAACAAGTTATCTGAAAATAATAACGGCACTGCTATCCAAATTCAAACTGTACAAAACATAATTTAAGCTTTATAAGCATAAAGCTTAGGCAATTTAAACTTTATAAGCATAATTAATATTAAGTAAACATGATTACCTTTAAGCATGATTATCTTTAAACTAATCCTCATTAATGTTAATTAATCATCATTAACATTAAGCTAATCATGATTATTTTAAGCTAATTATGATTAATTAGCTTAAACATGGATTAAGTTAATTAAGCAAGGGTTAACGACCATTACTCAATTAATGATGGACGGTGTACCAATGTGAATGCGTCACTGTATAGGAAAACTGAACTTGACATAAGGAACTTTAACCGAATTAACTGTCGGAAAATTATTCCGAACATAAATATGACATTCGAAACTTAATTCGAATATTCTTGACTTAGACGACTAATCCGAACATTAATATTTCGAATAGTTCGTCAACTTGGCTTATTAATTCCGAACTCATTAACTAATTAAATGAATCGGAATTAAATATGAAAACTTATCGACTAATAGTCGAACTTGGAATATAGTTGGCTGAATCACTTGAACTTGAACATGAACATGATTATTTACTAACAAAGGCTAGCTTAAAATTAAAAGCTAGTATTTTCCTTTATTAATAAAACTCGGGGTATAACACTCGCCACTACCTATAGCTACGCCGTACACTTGCGGATAGCAAAAATAATTAGCGAACACCCCCTGCAACCCCTCAGATGCTCTCATTCATTCTCCATACTGGCCTTCCTTAAGAGAATGATTCTCCACATCTCCACCCTTTGTCCACAATCGTTCTCAATATGCCCTACCTTCCCGCAATAAAAATAGAGATTGATGAGCCTCTCATACTTAAATGTGACTGATACCACTTCCTGATCCAGCCTAATGGATGCACATCTAGGCAGTGGCTCTGCAATATCCACCGTCACCAGCAATTTAATCAGTCTCCCTCCTTGACTTCTCAGGTTACTAACTAATACATTGGAGACTGATTTAAAGACCTTCCATATTTTTAACCAACTTCAGGTGTGAGCCAATTAAGTGGAACATGGTGAACCTGAACCCACAATCGAAGCTCATTGAAACAGCTATGATTACTGTGAAGCCCTGCTTGCCAGCATTTCAATATAAAGTACTTGTATCAGAAACCCAGTTTGTGCCTCCTGCCACCCTTTTTATGTCCTTCTCATTTTCAAAATTAAATTGAAAAAAGTTCTTCCCGAGTTCACGAACCTCCAACGATGCTTTCGGCTTCTAGATGAGTTCCATAGTCTCTTGACCCCATAAGATTGCCCCCTCTTTTCCCTCACTAGCTCATTCCTCAATGCTCGCCTTAACATCTTCATTCCCAATATCAATTATCCGATCCTCCACCTTTGATAATGAAAAAGCCCTCAACCGAATTTCCACTTCCTCAGGCGGAGACATAGAGCTGCTTTCTGCTATGAACCCTAATTCAAACCACCGAACACCAGACCCCCCTTCGCCAATCACCCACTGAAGTAACCCCAGACGCACCCTTGAACACTAATTTACCCACAAACGAAAGCTCTACGACGAGAGAAATAACTCTCCTAGAGAGAGAAGGGACTTCAAGAATAGAGGAATGTAAATTAAAAATAAATAACTACATAATATATTTAATGTAGGGTAAAATGTAGCGCGAACGACTACAGATAAAATTAAATACTTGGCTTACTCTACCCTAAAGTAGAGCAAACTCTGTACTAGAGTAGAGTAAAGGGCTGAAAATGGTCTAAACCTAATCTATTTTTGTTATTTCATCTACATCAAACCAAATGCAGCCTTCAGAAACTCCATTTCATTAGCGGGTCCGAATTTGCCAAGACTAGCAGACCCATACACCAAGCTCGCAGTCATTTAGTTTATACCACTAATAACACTAGATCACCCCAAAGGCTTTACAATGTTGCAAGTAACTAAGTCGCCTCAAGTACCCAACAGCTTAACCCAAGTAACTAAGTCGCCTCAAGTACCCAACAGCTTAACCCAGATAAAAATGCCAAGGA